CCTCCCCCCTCCCCCCCTGGTCCCCAACCAAGTTTTCATTCTGCACTACTGTCGACCTGTCTCGGGCTTAGCTGGGGCGTGCCCCCTGCCGGCCAGCCCACCGCACTGGTTCACCCCTTGTACTTGGATGGAGCTGAAAGCATAGCCAGAGTAGGGAACTCATACAATCATCGGCTCTAGAAGCCTTGCCACTAAAACAAAAATAAAACTCTGCTATTGAGTCCATAGGACACATTAACACTTCTACCGTTTCCAATTTATTTGTGACACTTTAGGAGACATCTGGAAATTCTTCACAGTGTGGCATTGCCCACTTCCCCCAGCCTGAACAGGGCTGGGTCAAAACTGGCAAGAGCTCTGCCCACCATTTAATAAGTTTCGCTTCCTGGCTACTGAGGGCATTCCTAATATTTTTTCTTCTCTTTTTTCCTTTTTCTTTTTTACACTAGCATAAATGCTCATCTCAGAGGCAACTACAAGTGTGAGGATCAGGCTAGACTGAGGTAAAAAACCCTTTTTGAAGGGCCAGGGTGCATTCATCCTGGCTGGCTACAGCAGCAAGTAAACATGCCAGCCAACTACAAAGGGCTCCGGGACAGGACGCTTAATGACTGGCCCTGGGAAAGAAGCAGGCCCATTAAGGTTCAGTTAGGAGAGCTTGGGTTTGATTTGGCAGCATCTAGTCAGCTTCTACCTGGTTCTTATTTTCTTCTCTTTAGAATGTTTCAATTTAAAGTAAGATGCAACTGAGACATTCATCTCCTTCCAATATGTAAATAAATTAAAGGCAAAGGGATATTTCCCTCACAACAGCCATTGGCTTGTACAGCAGGGAATTCTTTAATAAAATCTCCTTAAATACTAATTTCTTAACAGTGTCTAGTGCTGCTGCCTCTGGGTACCTGAGGTGTCTGTGACTGCAGTGGCACCTTCATGAGTGTAGCTCAGTGGAGACTCGATGTTCGTTTCTATTCAAACTCATTTTAAATGATTTATCGATTTGATATGTGGATGCTTAGCCTAGTTAAGCACTTATTTTACAAAGTGCTCAATCTGCTTAATAATCCCTAAGATATCTGGTCTGGAACTATTTTTAAAAATTAAATTTGAAGATCTTTTCATTTTCCAATACGTGTTTATATTTATTAATATTTCCCTTGAACAACCTGAAGTTCAGGTGAAGTAGATGCTCTATTCTTCTCTAGCTTCTAAGTTCTTTTTCCTAGAATAATAAATATAAGTGTCAATGAAAATGAAGCACAATTCGTAATTTTCTTTTTTACACTTTTTTTTGGGAGTTAACGAGCTTACCTATTGCTACAAAAAGTTATCACCAATTATGCCGACTTAAAAATGCAGGTCTCAAGAGCAGAGCTTCACATCAGCGCCTCTGGCTGCACGGGCGGGCAGCTGTGACACTTTAAAACAGTGTCCAGGAGAGGGTGAGCCCGGGCCAACCTTATACAAAGAAGCCTGCAGTAGACAATATAAAACCAAACAGCATAAAAAATGCCATACGCTATCGCTTCCAAATAAAAGCTAAATATTACAGAAACCTCACAGTGTTGGAAAAAGCAAGTTTAATTTAAAATATAGTCACTCCTTCCCTTTCAGGGTGAGCCATTTTCTGTCTGAATTTCCTCCATGTCTCAGTGCTGTCTGGCAGGTCCTATGGAAGTGTTCTCCGAAGAGGTCAACAGCAAATGCTACAGGTCCGTTCAGGAAATGTGGCTCATCAACACTGCTAAAGCTATAACCCTCATTCTTTAGCCTCACTTTCC